GGTGGTGAGTTATCCCGCTGTACCACAATGCAGCCTCAGACAGGTACTTTCTGTTCCATAAAAGTCAACCACACCCTCAAAGTGAAAACAAAGGGGAGATGCACAGTCTAGTACAAGGCACCACCGTGCTGTGGGCTGTCCCTATTCAATGTGATGATTACAAAACTCAGTCTTAAAATCATCAATAACCACTCGTATCAGCATGTCAAAAGCTCTAATGTACCGAGATATGACAAAGCGTAATTTTAAAAGCAGTGACTCCATTTTGGTTGTTGAGAATAAGGGATTAAGTAGTGGATGTATAACTGTCAACTGAAACCTAGAAATGTCACTGTTACTGATGAATTATAGTGACTGGCTATGTATTTCCCTTCTACAAAGAGGCCAGCCCACCCTGGTACTCCTTCATTACCATCTGCCTTCATCTTTGCAATTATTTCAATAAAAGTGATGCTAAGGAGTTCACTTGTTTAAGAGGTGATGTGTGATGGTCTGAGATACCAGCCCACCCTTCATTTACTGCCACATGTTGGCTCTTCCAGTTTTCCATTAGGAATATTAGACAGGTAGGGGCTGGCATTGTGTAGCAGGTTAAGCTGCTGCCTGTGAGGCTGGCATCTCTGTGAGCCAGTTCGAGTCCTGGCTCCCTGCAAATGCACCTGGGAAAGCAGTGGAAGATGGCCCATCTGTTTGGGCCTCTGCACCCATGTAGGAGACCCAGATGGAGTTTCTGGCTTCAGCCTGACCCAGCCCCAGCCATTCTGGCCATTTGAGGAGTGAACCAGTACATGGAAGAGATCTCCACCACCACTGCCACACCCCACCCAGCTCTGCCTTTCAAATAAATCAATAAATCGAAACTTTAAAAACCTAAAAAAAGAGTAGTAGAAAGATAGCAAAACTTTGCTTTATTGGCAAATGGTGTTCAGCTATTTAATGAAGCAGTTAGATGTCCAGTGTAAACAGTGTCAGAAGAAATTTTTGTCAGTGTTTAAGTAGATATCTTTTTAAATTTAACAATTATATAATGTATTTGAATAGTTCTTTCCACTTTACATGAACAACATTAAAGCTTTATGTACAGAAGATCAACTTTTCCTTATTCAGCTACCAAACACCTGAGTATCTGCTGTGTGCTCTGTGTGTGTTGAGCTGGGAAGACAAACTGAGCAAGACAGGTTTGCTGCCGCCCAAGAGCCAAGTGCCCAGGAGACAGCCAAGGCAGACACTGCAATTACAGTGCTGTGGCATACGTAATTCAGGTAGAAGCTGCCCCGGGAGCAGAGGGGGAGAGGGCACGACCCTTGGGGGCTGAACTGAATACTGATGGGTGCCAAGCAGCACTCAGCACCACAAGCAGGGGAGGCAGAGGAGTGTCAGGGACACCCAGGCATGGGTGTGCAGAGCAGCAGCACACTGGAGTAGACAGGAGCACAGACCCCAGAGCCTGACTGCTGGGGTCCACCTCGGGCAATGATTTAACCTTCCTGTGCCTCAGTGTCCCCCATCTGTAGAAAGATGATCATGTGAACGTGTGCTTTAGAGAGCTCTTAAGAGAATGAATGAATTCCCTTTCAGGAAACACCTAGTAAGAGCCATTTCAATGTTCGCCATTCGCAGAGCTGGGGTGCAGAATTCTCGATGCCTTGCAGAAAGAGGCAACTGTGGAGCAGGGATGGGCTGGAGACAAAAGGCTCAGGCTTAGTCCTGGAGCTACTGCTGGGTTTCTGGCATGAGGATGAGGATCTACAATTAGTTTAAGGCTTTGAGGCAGGCCAGGGAGTCATGTCAAGCAGGGAGCTGAGTTAGGAGATGCTGGGGCCTGCACCAAAGTGTGCAGGAGGAACCAGAGGGGGCTAGATCAGCGAAGGCCCAGGAGGCAGAGTGGGTGAGGCCTCCCAACTCCCTGTCTAACAAGACGAGGAGGAGCAGTCAGGGCCTGGTTGGGAAAGAGTCCCCATTCTCTGCGCAGGCTGAGTTGACAGGGAGAGGGCTGACCTCGTTGGCCTTCTGGTACGTAAATGCACAATAAAAGTTAACTTCACTTCCTTTCCCCACAAGACTATCTCCTTCTTGCAAACTGGATGAACTAGAGCTTGGGTTAAAAAAAAAGAAGAGCTAAAAAGGCTAAAAAGTATTTGACTTGAATGCAGAGTCCTGCCTCTTACCTCAGAGTTCCTAACTTATCTGAGACCTTGAACTTCAATAGCAATATTCAAAAATTTGGAGGCTATCTTCTGGCCACTTTGCTTTATTTTTCTGTTTTAAGGACGAGGGACATTCTGGCTGGCCTTGATTTCCCCCGGTGTCAGGTGGCACTCTGACATCAGCACGGATATATTCAGCTTGGACATACGACACCGGCTGGCACTAGAAGGCAGGGGAAGATGGCTGAGCTGGGCGTGACAACCAGGCTCAGGACTAAGTGGCAGCTGCAACACATGTTCCTTGGAACCAGAGTCACCACAGGCTTCATCTTCTATTTTTAAAACGTGGGTAAAGGGGCCAGCGCTGTGGCATATTGGGTAAAGCTGCCGCCTGCAGTGCCTGCATCCCATATGGGGGCTGGTTGGAGACCCGTCTGCCTCGCTTCCGATCCAGTTCTCTGCTATGGCCTGGGAAAGCAGTGGAAGATGGCCCAAGTGCTTGGGTCCCTGCACCCACATAGCAGATCAGGAAGAAGCTCCTGGCTCCTGGCTTTTGGATCAGCACAGCTCTGGCCATTACAGCCATCTGGGGAGTGAACCAGCAGATTGGAAGACCTCTTTCTCTCTCTCTTTCTCTCTGCCTCTCCTTCTCTTTCTCTCTGCCTTTCAAATAAAATAAATAAATCTTTAAAAAAAATGGATAAGTAACTCACGACCACATGGGAACTGTGAAATCTATATGCTCATGGCTACCTGACACAGTCAATAAATAATAATTGTTATCGCCGGCGCCGTGGCTCAATAGGCTAATCCTCCACCTTGCGGCGCCGGCATACCGGGTTCTAGTCCCGGTCGGGGTGCCGGATTCTGTCCCGGTTGCCCCTTTTCCAGGCCAGCTCTCTGCTATGGCCAGGGAGTGCAGTGGAGGATGGCCCAGGTGCTTGGGCCCTGACCCCATGGGAGACCAGGAAAAGCACCTGGATCCTGGCTCCTGCCATCGGATCAGTGCGGTGCGCCGGCTGCAGCGGCGGCCATTGGAGGGTGAACCAACAGCAAAGGAAGACCTTTCTCTCTCTGTCTCTCTCTCTCACTGTCCACTCTGCCTCTCAAAAAAAAAAAAATAATAATTGTTATCATCAGAACAGAGCAATTAGGTGTCTTTTCGTTCCTTGCTTTTCAAAGACTCTCATGGCTATGTTACAGGTCCTCAGGTAGGAGGACACATCTGCCAAGCTTGCAAGACTTTCTTACTTCCACGGCACTGGAGCCGGTCATGGCAAACTCTTTCTTATCCCTGAAAGACCACTAAACTTAGTGCACTGTCAAGGAATTGATGATGGCAGTATAATTATTTTCAACATAGGAATCTACAGCATTCTAGCCATTGAACGGTAGTCAGAGGCCACTTACATCAAAGCTGAGTAATCCATGTTTTCCTGCCTATGTTTCTTTCCTTTTTTCTTTTTTTTTTTTTTTGCAACTTTTAATAATTTTCATCACAACTATCACCTATCCCCGAAACAGCAAGCCAACTCACATGATAAGACCTTGGACAAAACATTGTAACACCTACATAATTTTCCTTATAACTGGTACTGTTCTTTGTAACCACCCACTCAGTCCCCACTACTGTCTCCAACCACGGGGTCTGGCAGGGACTCGAATCCAAGAAACGCTGGCCTGGATTCGACCCGGTCTTCTGATTTTGAGGTTATAAACCACAAAGTATGTTTTGGGGGAAAAAATTAAGATTTCATTTCAGCAAAGTGTGACCACGGAGTTTGTGCACTGACTTGACTCTATCTAATTTTCCAAAGAACTATGAAGTGGGAAGCTGGTGCCATTCATCATGTTTGTTTATTTGCTGTGTAGGCCCAGTCCTTCTTCTTCATTACACACAGAGCTACTGAAGCGTCAGCCTCAGAAATGAGAGACAGCGCCCCCAAACTGATGTATTTATAAACACGCTTCCGTATGCCTGTTTTCTTTATCTCTTTTCTTATAATTAGCAGGCTCTTACATTTGACCAGGGAATTTTTAAATTTAGGCCATTTATGGATATTTCACTAGACGTGAATCTTTTTTGACATTTCAAATATAACCTTGTGTCATTCAGGCCTGCCTCCTACTATTCTAAATGTATAGCATCTTCCAGTTGCAGGAATTACCATGGTTACTTGTTATACCAATAGTGAACTCCAGTTGGCATTTCAAAGCATTGTGCTATCTTAGTGCCAGCATTGAAAATGGCATCAACGTCTCAATAATCGCAATGCTATGAATTAACATGGAATCCTGGAGAAATGTGGCTGTGAGACAACTGGATACATGGTAAGAAGCTCTTAGGAGCTGAAGTCCATTTATTTAAGGGACTTTCAGGAGGCACATTACATTCATGGTCTCTCAGAGCATATTTTAAATGCAAAATGCGATTTTACTTTATTAACAATACTGCTGAATGCTTAGAATCTTATTCCTTCCTTTTATTTGCATACTCTTCTCTAGAAACGCATGGGATTTCAGTACGTCTTTGAGTAGGAAATGATTCACAACACACAAAACATGGCTTGCCAAAGGCACTCTTAGGTCTAGGGATAGCATCGAGGATTAAGTTGATGTGATCCCAGCCCTCAATCCTCTGCTGACCAGTTGAAGTTCTACTAAGGAATCTTCGAGTTAATAAATGGTTTTCTTCTAAGTTACTATTTAACCACTGCTGTTTCAAAAAAGTGCTTTAGAAATTCTTGGGGTCATTTCTCCATGCCTCTCACAGACCTCTCAACTTTACCTTGCCCAGAAGACTCAAAGCCTGCAAATCCCCTAGCAGAACCCAGAACACAAGCCTAGACTCACCTGCACTGGTGCCTGCACCGGATGTGAGGTCTCCACCCATCAGACCACCTAGGAATTAAAGAGGACAATCAGAAGGAGAAAGGCCACGGGCCCAGAGAACCCAACACTTTACCTTTAACCACCCCGGTATTTTTTTTCTCCCGGGAGTCGTAACCTCATAAAGAACTACCTAAATCAGCCAGCTGACATTTGTTTTATTGTGACATGCTGTGCTCAAACGTTAAAAATACATTCAATCACTGACATTTTGTGGAGTCTTTTTTTCTAGGAAAGATTACATTTTAAAAAGCCACGCTTTGACTAGTCTCGGCATTTTATTACTTCCAACTCTAGGCTTTCTCCTAAGCAGAAAGGAAAAAGAAGTGAGGTCTGCTATGTGCTCAGATAGCTGTACATCTGATGTTAATTCTTGTAAATATATTTTATACCATTACTTTTTTGTAATGCTAGCTGTCCAGAATTTTTATCATTTCAATGAGCTACCTACATTTACTAACTGGATTTTGCTAACTGATACAGTAAAACAAATTTTCACTACCATAAATTTATGAATATATGCTTATTCATCACTAAACAAAGTATATTAAATTTAGCAATGTTTATAAAAATCTGGATGTTTTAATCAGTTATGAATATAATAATTGTATTCAGTTTTTATAAACAAGAGTTAGCAAAAAAAACTAATAATGAGAATACCATCTATAGTTTCTAACTGCTTTTTATGCGATATTCTATAATTATTAGTTGGTTCAGGTTTTGGAATTAAAAGAAAATGTTAATTATATTTTAAGAAAATGTTCATTGTTTCCCATCAAATAATATTTTGGAAGTAAAGTATCAGAATAATAAAATTAATGAGCATTCATAAAATTAATGAGCAGTTATCAGAAAGGAAATACAATTTTATCAGAATATCTTTTAAACAAATATTTTCAATATGGTTATTAAAAACTCATATGAAAAACTGTGAGCACATTAACAAACCAAAAACAATGTCACACTCAAGTTCTCAGTATATTTCCCAGACTCAACAATCATCGAAATTGTTTTTATTTGGCTGATTTTGGTTATATTTTCTCCATAAGGTTTCTGTAATGAAAATCTGTAAAAAACCAGTTTCTATAATAAAAACTTCTTATGTAGTTCTAATTGTGAGGTAGGTATCTACATATTCTACAGATAAAATGTCTCTACAAATCAACTGCTTCTAATACAGTTATGAGTACCCAAGAAACATTACAAATTTCATATGGAGTGATTTCCTCAAAACAAATTTAAACATGTAATGGTTTACTACAGCGGCAAACTATTCTTGGTGCTGTGTGTGGTTTAGTTGTGTCTGCTACATGAGGGCTTAGTTGCTACCATGAGCTGACTAAGGAAGAGGACTTACTCCCCACTGACTCAGGAGGTTGGGACGCCTATTGAACCCAGTGCCTCATAACCTATTTTGGCTGATCTAGGTAAGTAAGAGTGGTCAAACTTTTTCTGAGCAATGGTTCTTTTCCTCTGGGACAGTGTGGATCAAACAATAGCAAGGATCTCTGACAAGCATGGAGACAATTCTGCAGCAAGGATCCGTGTGCACAGGACATGCCCTAAGTTCACTGCTGACTCAGCTTTGTTTTATTTCACATTGCAACTAAATTATGTTATCCCATCCTATTCTTTTTTCTGCTTTAAATCCTCTGTGGAATAAGTTACTCCCTAAATGAATAAAAATTGCCTGCAATGGCAAAAACCTCAAAGGGATGAGTGCTGTCAGAGAATGCAGGAAAAGGAGGGAAAATGCTGGGGAGGGGGCTGAAGCCCAAGTGTGGAGACGGCATATTTGAGGTCCTGTTTGAAAACATGTGTGGCGAACCTACAGCCACAGGAGGAGCTAAGTGACAGGCTGGATGATAACGAGCAGATGAGTGAACATTTCAAAAGACAGGTTCAAAAGGCCCAGGCTTTATCACATAGACGACCTTGCGGGGCTGGATGTGACCCAAAGAAGGACATATGGGCAAAACCGGAAAGCATCCAGTAGACAAAACAAAATTTGGTTTTTACCACAAGTGGCTTATCCCAACAGTCTATTGACATTCCGTCCTTCTGAGAACATACCTGTGTTACCTGCACTTGGAGGCCGATGTGTTACACCAGGAGACATACTATTCCTCTGCAGAGAAGGGTGGGCCAGTGGCAAGAGGTTGGGGTTTCCCAGTGAGCTGACCGGGTTGCTATACACCAAGCTGTTGTGGCTAGACACTGGGATGGAGACTGGCATCTCAAAGTTGGGGGGTGGAACAGCCTGGAGGAACACAAAATTAACAAAACAAAAACACGGGTCACAGGGAGGAACTGTAACAAGCTCTCCTGGGCACAGAGCCTTCACTTTTCTAGGCAAAACTCCACTTTCCAAATGGCTTGGTGTCTAGACCATAAAGAGCTTCCGAGATGTTCAGATCATGAACCGGTTTCTTGAATATGCTCAGAACTCGTCTGTCTTTGCAACTATTAGAAAATGTCTCACTTTTGTTTAAAACAAAGCCCCGCTTCATTAGACTCCATTGTCTTCGGATCCCATTCTATTAAGTAATAATTGTTCATCTGTGCTATCTGAATCGAGTGCCAGAAATGACTGCAAGATCAAAGGTACATGATTGTGATGACTTCACTGAGAAAAAAAAGGGAATTAAAATGCAAACCAGACCCTTTGGTTTAATTGCTTATTGAAGCATATTTATGCACAGGTTTAATGATATAAAATCATCTCCAGGCACGTGAATAGCACATATAGCTTAATTATTATTTTTAAAAGTCTTCCTTTTAAAAGTAACTCTACAGATAATAGGCATTTTAAGATACAGGATTCAACGGAGCACGTATCATTCAATAATTCACATTTAAAAACGTTTGCTCGGAAGATATGCTATGCCCCACATTTTGGTACTCGTGTACTGCCGGGATTTGTATCTTAAATGGGAATTGAAAAATATTTAGTGAACTGAAGCTGTGTGGATGTCTAATTTAAACAATTCAGGCCTCAATTGTTAATTTTTTTTGTATTTGGCATTTTCAGCAGAATTATGTTTCTGCTTGAAACTAACTAAATACTCATAATCACCCCCTTTTTTTTTTTAGCATTTCAAATGAAAATACTGTTTGAATGTATTGCCAGAGAACTCATGCTGTGAGAACACACAGCATTCTTAACAGGATAAAAGGGATCCATTTGTTTTGGTGTAAAAAAGTTTTGAAATACATGCCTATGATGGGTCTTCACAAAGCTCATGAAAAGTATGGCTGAAAGCACTCTGCATGGATGAGATGCATGTCATACATATAATGTCAGACACAGGCTGTATGTAAGGCATTCCCTCAGGGGCCCCAGAGAAGACACTGCCCAAGTTCACATACACCTGTGCCTACGGCTCAGCTGCTCACTGTTGTTTTTTGTTTGCCTTTGTACTTTTTTCCTTCAGTGTCTCATCAGCTTCGGCTGGCCCGCATCAGACCCTGCGCTGTGATACTTGTGTGTATCTTGGTGACGATGGCAATATTGTCCTGTTTATGTTTATGCTCTGTTATTTTTCATTTCTTACATTTTCTTTTCTTCCACCTTCTGGACATGTGGACAGTGACAAGCGCACAGGTCCCACGAATCTTCCCTTCCATCTGTCTTTGATTCTTCATTGTTTTCAGAGGGGAATAAAAAGTGCTCGTGCGATCTATTCACCAGTCATTGTTCTGTTGCAAGACGGGGATTCGGAAAATAATTTTTGGATAATCCCCATGATGGCACGTAAATGTCTTATCAGATGTCAGATCATGACTATGTCCCCACACTTCCAGAGCCTTCGAAGTCAAACAACAGAAGTGTTGGAGTATGCTGGAAAGCCAGTGCCTGGAGAATGAGTAGCGAGTTGTATTCCTTCATGAAAAGGCAAGTGGGGTGACCCAGCGCATCCAAGAATCAAAATGCCTGCCCCAGCTCTTCTCCACTGGACTTGTGCTCATCGGCTCTTGCCAGGAGCTGGGCCTCGGGACGGCAGCAGCAGGCTCCCGTTGCCTTCGGGAGGCAGAGTTGCTGGAAGGAGGCAGCAGCAGGGGCAGAGTGGGAGGCAGAGGCGTCCTCCTGGCTGGGCCACAGCTGTGTGACAGCCGCTCCTCTCCTCCCAGCGCTGTGTCTGGGTGGCTTCCGCCCACACACGTGGGTGTTGCTGTGTTCCGGTCGCTTCTGCCTCCCCGGGCTCCTGCAGCCTGGTATTGATAACTGCTTCTAGGTGGTCAGCCCTAACATACTGCATTGCTCTCTCAGGTCTCCCTCAGTCTCCCATCTGTAAACACGCTTCTGAATGATTACTGGTCAGGGTTTGCCATCTGTTTCTGGCTGCACCCTTAAGCCACACCGGTCACTCTAGCTCTAGAACGGTGGTAGGCTGCAGGAGGGCCCACCTCTGCAGGGAGCACTTTGGGGGTCAGTTGAGGATGTCTGGGAGCCCCCACGACTTTGTGCTGTGGCTCCTAGCCGAAGCCAGCACCATTCTCTCTCGTGGGATCAACGCAGTCTTGCCCTAGGAGACGGACCTGCTTCTGCACCCCACTCCCCTCTTCTTATTTTATTTGCAACCCAGCAATCAGGCTGACCCTTTGGAAGTGTGTGTCACTTGAGGGCACTCCTCTGCCCAAATCCTGGGAGACTCAGTCTCATCTGACTAAGAGCAAAACCCCAACTGCTTCCCGTGGTCCACAAGGGCCTGTATGTTCCAGCTTTTGTCACCTTGTCTCTCCTTCCTTCCTTCTCATGGGAACTCTCTCATGTCTGCGCTGAGCACCCTGTATAACCCTGCACCCGGCCCTGGCCCTGTCCCCTCTCCTGGTCTCCCCTAACTGCTCTTCTTTCTCCCGTGTTGTCACATCAGGGAAGTCACTGTCAAACGGGGTCCCCATCGATCAAGGTGGTTGAGGTCTTTTGCTAGAAGGCAGTGCAGAACCCAAGACTCTACAAAGGCACAATCACAAGCTCATCGCTGACGTGTATTATGTGTGCAGCATGCACTACGCTGTGTAATTGACGTACACGATGGGCTTGGGCCTTTCCAGCATCCCTTCACTGTACACACAACGCTTCCCTTTTTAAATCACTGAGAGTCAGTAGGTGGCCCAAGGACATCTAGTGACAGGGTCATTGCCTTTGCTACTAAATCACTGTACAACACAGTGTACGTTCCAACTGAAATGAAATATTGCAGCCAGAAATCATAGTGTTAAATGAATAAGAGCTGGAAATCAGTAGCTTATTATTGGTGAACCAAAGAGCTGACTGGGTTCTTAGGGAACGTGGGTGAGCATCCCCATTGGAAGGACTGAGGTCTTGGGGGAAAATAAACCTTAAAGACTACCTTCTAAAGAAGGCAGAACTTGTAATGTTCTCTGGCACCACAGGCTAACTAGGGTCGCCAGGAATTAATTGTAGATTTCAAAATAGCTCATGCAAAAGATTTTGAACGTTCCTAACCTGAAGAAATGATACATATTTGAAATGATAGATATGCCAATCATCTTGCCAATTCACATTGGGTGCATGTATTGTAGTACCACACTGTGCCCCATGAACATTATTATTATGGCAGTTAAAAACTTTAAATATATGGTGTGGCCACTGCGGCTTAGGAGGTTACACTGCCACCTGGGATGCCTGCATCCCATATTGCAGTGCCCGGGATCAAGTGGCTGTTCTGCCTCTCGATCCGGCTTCCTGCTAATGTCTCTGGGAGGCAGCAGATGAGGGCTCAAGTACTCGAGTCCCAGCCACTCACACAGGGAAAGGGGATGGAGTTCCTGCTTCTGCCTTTGGCTTGGCCCAGACCTAGCTGTGGTGGGCATTTGGGAATTAAACCTCCGGATACAAGATCTCTCTTACTGCCTGTCTCTCTCTGGTGCTCTTTCAAATAAATAAAAATCAATAAGTGTTAAAATCTACATTTTAATTACATTTTTTTTTGACAGGCAGAGTGGACAGTGAGAGAGAGAGAGAGAGACAGAGAGAAAGCAGAGAGAAAGGTCTTCCTTTACCGTTGGTTCACCCTCCAATGGCTGCTGTGGCCGGCGCACTGCGCTGATCCGAAGCCAGGGGCCAGGTACTTATCTTGGTCTCCCATGGGGTGCAGGGCCCAAGCACTTGGGCCATCCTCCACTGCACTCGTGGGCCACAGCAGAGAGCTGGCCTGGAAGAGGGGCAACCGGGACAGAATCCGGCGCCCCGACCGGGACTAGAACCCGGTGTGCCGGCGCTGCAGGCAGAGGATTAGCCTAGTGAGCCGTGGCACCGGCCTTAATTAAAATATTTTTAAGATGGAAATAGAAAAACCAGGTTTCCTTCTTTCCTATTTACTCAAAATTAGTATCAGCCATGAAACCCACGTACTTTTTGAATATTCTACAGAGGTTGGTTGTCTCCAATTAGAGACCAAAGTCCACTCTCTTTACCCTTGCAGGATTACATGCAGTTCAAAAGTACAGAAGGTTATTAACAATTATGGCATGAAGCATTTAACCATCAGCGAGAGGCACTCTACTCCTCCCTGCCTCTGACCACTGTCTCCCCCCACGGCTTACTCAGTGTCAACATTCTGGACCATAAATCACTCTAAGATGACTCCTGGAAAGGCCATGTATGACTCGCTGACTGTGCGCCCAGTCAGGTGGAATTCTGATGTCAGACCAGACTCCAAAAATTCAGAATTCATAAAATACCCAGCACCCTCTGCACCCTCTCCAGCTTTTGCTGTGTTCTTATCAGAAGCAGGAATTAGCTATAATAATTTGGAAAGCAGATTAGGAGCTCAGAAATGACCATCCTGTGAAGGTATCTTGGAGGATCAGAGAGAACATCAGCCTTTCTCTTCGAAATCTCAGTTGCAGATCAGGTTGTGTAACAAACTGCCATTTAACCAGGCCGGGCGCTCAATCTCCCCTGGCCTGCATTTCTGTACCTGAGGCACAGAATGGTTGCAACCATGAGGAGGGGAAGTGGCTCTGAAGACTGAGGGGCCTGCACCAGCTAGAATAATTGCTTTGGAGGAATCGGTATTCTTGATTTTTCAAAATCAGGGATCTAGAATATCTACATTTTTTTTCACTTGACAGGTAGAGTTATAGACAGTGAGAGAGAGAGAGAGACAGAGAGAAAGGTCTTCCCTCCATTGGTTCACACCCTAAATGGCTGCTACAGCCGGTGCTGCGCCGATCCGAAGCCAGGAGCCTGGTGCTTCCTCCTGGTCTCCCAGGCAGGTGCAGGGCCCAAGCACTTGGGCCATCCTCCACTGCCTTCCCAGGCCACAGCAGAGAGCTGGACTGGAAGAGGAGCAACTGGGACTAGAACCCGGCACCCATATGGGATGCTGGCACTGCAGGCGGAGGATTAACCAAGTGAGCCATGGCGCCAGCCCCTAGAATATCTACATTTTAAACATTCTCATCCACAAAGTCAAAGTTGAAAGGTAGTTAAAAGCTCCCAACTTGCAAAGATCTCAGGGCCAGGCTCCCAAGTCTCAAAATATTCAAGGTAGGAAGGAAGAAGGAATTTGGGGTGATTAAGTAAAATGCTGTAGGCAGGGCTGCTTATGGAGTTTTTAGGACCCAGTGTAAAATGGAAAGGTGTGAGATTTTGTGGCACAGCAGGTTAAGCCACTGCCTATGATGCCAGCATTTCAGAGTGCTGGTTCAAGTCCTGGTTTCCGCTCCAGCTCTCTGCTAATGCACCTGGGAAAGCAGTGCAAGATGGCTCAAGCACTTGGGCCCCTGCCACCTAGACCCAGATGGAGCTCTGGGCTCCTGGCTTTGGCCTGGTCTGGCAGTGGGCTTTGCGCCATTTGGGGAGTGAACCTGCAGATGAGGAACCTCTCTCTCTCTCTCTCTCTCTGCCTTTCAAATAAATAAAAATAAATCTTAAAATAAATGGTAGCTAAAAAGCTTTTAGTGTCCACCCCTGAACAATGTGACTGGTTACTACCACGAGTGAATGCAGTCAGAAACGTATCTGAACCCTTGTCTTAAACCTACTATTCTCCAAAGCTTTCTGTAGGTCCAGTGAAAAATAAAATTAAACATTTTTAATGAAATATTTTCAGTTAATGGGCTCTCTTCTATCTAATGCGAATGAGTAACCTGAATCTCACCTTTGTCACCAATGATACCCTTAATCTACTGAGCTTTAGCAAAGAAAAATGATGGCCATGACCGTGATGAGCAGGGACCACCAAGAGCTGCCTGCCAACTCCAGCGTCCATTTGTCCACTCGCCATGCCCTCCTCGTCAGTGTCCAGACTTTCAACACTCTGTCCTCTTCCAAACCCCTGCTCCCCCTTGCGCCCCATCTGCAGAAGCTCAATTAGATAAAGCCAGGCAGAGGTCATTACGTGGCCACCTGCCCACTCCCACTCACCCACGGGGGTCCCACCCTCCTGCCCTCTCTTGGGAAGCTGCGCCTGCCATTCCACCCGCACTGAACCCACTGCTGAACCTCTGGCCCCAGGCTCCCTCCTCTGATGATTAATGAGCTCATGTGCTTCTCTTTTCTGCCCCTCCCTTTCCCACTCACTTCCCTCTTCAGTCTCTTATTTTGAAGGAAACATCGGCTCTTTCCAATTCCTCCTCTCCGTTTGCTCTCAACCAATCTCGCATCCGCCTCTCATTCATTCCTCCTGTTTCCTAGCCCTTGGCTCCTTAAATGGAGCTGTTTTTTCTTGCTGTGAAGCCCAGCGTGTCTCGTGGCAAACCCAGCACCAGGAAATCTGGCTGACAAGATTCCAAATCACCCATGAATTATTTCATGTAATTGAGGAATACGGGCATAAATCATTTTAGACCAACAGGTGACTGCAATATTAAATTTTCTATTTTCAAAGGGAAATTCTTCTAGCTGGGTCTTTGAAATAGAAAAACAGTCTTGTAATGTTTTTAAAGAGGTGGAGACACTCTGCACACAAGGGGCAGAGTGTCCTTGCCGGGCTGTGAATGTTTTAGCAGCTGTGGAAACTTTCACCAAGACCGACTTCCAGCAATGCAAAGCAACGTGCAAAAAACCCGGCCTGTCATCGTGGAGACCGAAGCGCTCGCCAGAGAGACGAAGACTGGCACGGCGAGGAGCCGCGTGGCTCCAGCTCACAGCTCTGCCTGCGAACTCTAGCAGGGATGTCCCACTGCGGCACCTCCTGGGAAGTCGTGGATCCTGATTCTGAACTCTTTCGTGACAAGGCCAAACAGTGCCAGGAAGTCCAAGCGTGCAACACATCTCTTCCCCTTCCCAAGCCGGGGGCCAGCGGTCCAATGCGTAATCTCCTCCAACTTCTGGGGCCACAGCTCCGCCCGCACGTAGGGTCGCGCCCGCTGAGAGCCATCGCTGTGTCTCCTCGGTTTGCCTTCTGCCCTCACTGTGCGAGGGGTTCCTCTTGTCTGACGTGCTTTGCCTACACTCACAAGCCTTTCACCACAGCTGCTCCAAACTGGCATATTACACAGCGATGCAAACTCAGGACGTAAAAGCTACACATGGGCCCAACGGAGCTGTTTCCACGTTTCTTCCGAGCAAGAGAAAATCCCGATGGCTACTTTATCACGTGGGGATTCCGGCCGAGTCAGGTATGCACGGTGCACAGGACAGGAATCGCTGTTCTGGAGAGAGCGTCCGGTGTGCTGCGAGGTTCCCAGCACTGCTCAGTTTAGGAAACCGTTCAGCATTCACAGCACTTAGCTTCCCTTCGGGATACAGCGTACTAATAATTCTGATTCAACAAAAGCTGTACTGCTCACATCAGTTCACTGAACAAAGGCAGCAGATGTATTTGCCAACGTGTGTACATTTTACGAAGAAATTGTTAAAGTGTCCCATTGAACCCAACAGAAGTGGAGCAAACACTGACTACATAAAACGTTCATTTATCTTGGGAGTGTGGTTGTGAATCTGGCCTAGAACTTTTGCTCCCGAATAGCTACCTGCATTTGTAATCGCCAAGCCATGTTTTCATCGCAGTCTCTCTCAATTCTCAGGTTTAGGGTTTTCAGTTAACTCACAAAAATGTACTTTTTTTTTTTTTTTTTGCAAGGGAATCAATGACCTCTGGAGGAGGCTATGTATTATCCAACACTAACACTAATTATTCAGAAAGCACATAGGCAGAAGTCCTTCCCTCTTATACCACAAAATCAACATTGTTTGATTGCTAACAGAATACAATAAAAGGCATATTATGTATAGCTGTATATACTTTCCCATCATATATGTGGGCAAACAAAATCATACATGCAGAGTTATTTCTCTTCAATATCTGGCAAGGCATATGATTGATGGTTAGACATTTTTTGATTTGGTTAAGACAAAATTTAGCCAAATGTTAAAGCATGGGAAATATTGGTGTCGGCAAAGCAGATAATATTCTGACGAAGCTTTAAAGTCACCCCAGCACGCAGACAGGTTGAAATCTTACCGTTAGGTTTCATGCAGTCTGTTCCTTGCAGTGAGCGTTAGCTTTAACCCTTCAGTGCTGTTGCTGAATTTCATGTATTGGGAGGGAGGCTGAGGTTTCGTTCAGAAATCAGTTGTGATTTGGGGGGCGACTGAGGCAGGTCGCATGAGAGCATGGGAGCTGCACTGTGTTCCTGACCTTGGCTCACTACGTGGAGGTCTGTGTGTGTTTTACAGCAAATCTGCACACTTGTTTGGAAGGAGAGTCTAGGGCACTGAGCTTGCATGAACTGTGTGTTCAAAGACTGCAAACTCAGGGTGTGCCATGGGGCTGTCGCTGTGCCTCCTGGGAAGCGACGCGGCGCTGGCCACTCCTTTGGGTTGTGCAATCCCAGCACCCCTGAGGGTTTGCTCTCGGCAGGAGGGCCGCGGGATGAGATGGCTACTGCATCCCTTTGACCTTACAAAGCCATCACTGCGAGGGTTAGGGATGTTACTGCAGCAGTTATCAGCAGACCAGCCATCTACCTTGGGTACTTACGGGAATTTTATGACTCTTGATCATATTATCAAATTCTTCATTAATTTTTTTGTATTTTTCTTCAGTGCGTGGGGTGAGTGCATAAGAGGAGTCAGGGTCGGGGCTTTCACAGCCTTTGCTTTCTTTCTTGTTCAAGGCCTGCCAGGTTCAGAGAAATATCGAGAGTAAAAAAAAAGGAAGGGTGTTCCGAGTACTTACACACAATCTCTGCCTGCTGATCATTAGATCAATGTCTTCGTTAATTTTCCTGTACTTGTCCTCAGATTCAGGGCTGTGCCCTACAGAATCGTCCGCATCGGGATCTGGGCTGTCACAGCCATTAAGGCCCTTCTTTCTCAACGTCTGAAATACATAATTTGGAAAGTTCAAACCTTGACACAGGCTGTAAGAGACATGCAGGGGAATTATAGAAGTTCAGGCTGCCCAGCGTTTTGGGTCATTACATATGCCAGATGACACGAGGGACGAGAAATCCCAGGTAGAAACCATGAGTCATTTCAATAGAGTGCTCGTCACCCGCTGAAAAACAGAGGAAGGAAACAGTCTCTCTCGCCGCTAAATACAGTCAGTGAACCACGAGGGCTGAATTTTGTCATATGCAAGAGGGAGAGACAATTCCAGATGAGTACAATGGAGGGAGCGCACTGCGACACCGTCGTGTGAGGACTTTGGACATTACACGCACAACCTGTGAGGATGACCAGAGCTGAAGGGTTGGAAGCAGATTCCTGGTTTGAATTTAACTCGTGGTGGGCACTAGTGTCCCGCCTGTCCCCATCCGTCTTGTCACCCCCTTTCCCGCCATGCTCTCGCCAGCAAAACGGTATGATGGAAACCACTTATTTTCTTACCAAGCACCAACTGAGACTGCTCAGGTACTGTGCTCATATGGAGGATTACTTTTGCTTGTGAGAGTTCTATGTAGCTGAAAATCTGCACTGAAATTCATGACACTGAAAAGCTACATAAGAAAATAAAGGCTGTAGGACAAGTTGGAAGAGCTGAGCTTCAACTTTCTCACCATGAGCGCAGGTAGCCAAGCCAGCCAGTGAGCGATGCCCAACCCAGCACAGCCCCTGGTTTCAGCTGCAAAGGAGTCAGCCGACACAAAGTGGGAAGTCAGTGCCTCATCCTGAACCTCCTGTCTCCTGGGGGTCGGGCTGCTTTAGTTTCTGCCATCAGAGCCCAATAAATAAGAATGTGATGCTGTTAACAGTTTGGAAAAGCACGAGTCAGAAGACCTGAGTGTTATCCTCTCTTGTTTAAGTGATGGTTGTCAACTTAATTGTACACAATCTGATTTACAGAGATAATGTTATGTTTTTAGACATCACCAAACTTCTGATTAATCACACAGCTTGCCATGTTAATTATTAATAGGTTAGCAACATTTCTTAAATTTCCTGGTACTTCAAGATCAGTTACAAAGAGATGCGTACCTAAGTGTTTCTCATTAATGGAAAGTTCAGCCGACTCATCTTTATGAAAGACAGAATTCACATCTAAATAAAGCAAAAGCTGTGACACCAAGCGAAGGAATTCAAAGCTGAGATAACACTCCATCTTTAATTCATGCAATTGGGGAAAATAAATAAAACAACATGAGTTAAGAAGGGGGTGTTAGGTTCAAAAGCTCCTTGGCTCCTATTAATGTGTAACAGATATAATGTTATTTAAAATTAAGTTTCTGAGGCGTGGAAGATTTTTTTTTCATAAAATCAAATAAGAGACCCACCATTTCTAATACATTTAGGAAACACGAGGGCTCTGTAAATATTTAGTAATGTGATACTGGTATAATATAACAAATAAGCATATGGTTACAGCTTATTATGTGGTAAAATGTTTGAATATTAAAATGAATATTTTGACACAAGATGATAAACTATACATTTACAATCTTGGGGAATCTGTAATTGGTGGGGCCACCTGTGCCCCACCACAGGGCTGCAGGCAGTGCTTTTCACCCAGCAGAAGTCCTCCCAGGGCAGGCGTGGCAAATGATTTTGTTGGCCAAGGGTCGTTAGGATATCTGTGACATCATCCGTGGGCCTTAACAATTAGCAACCGAAAAGTCAATCCGCTATAGATGTATTGAATTTTGAGTCCCACCTGCGATTGCTGTGGCAGGGCCAGACCAACTGGTTTCATGGGCTCTTATATGGCCCATGGGCTGGACGTTCTCTACCCTTAGGGGTCCCTTTAGGAGTACCACAAAGGCTGTCACAATATATTAGAATCATAATTTTATTTACTAACTTGACTTCCTATGTGTTAGACTCTTTTGTTAGCATGACCTTAGCCACAAGAGCATTCTTCTGGGTGCTGTATCAGGTTCCATGTCTGCTTTTATGTTTGAATTTTTAAGAATAATTTTTTGAGTGTTTTGCATCATATTTTGTATACCTTTCATAACAATTCATTTGTGTAGAGAAAAATAGGTAAGATCAAAACCGCTGATGTTTTTCAAAGTAATCTATGTTTCTATAAGGCATGTGTAAGAATATTCTTATATACACCTTTCATTTGAAGTCCTCTATAATGTCAACATACAGTCTTATACAGAAATTAGATTTTTCCTATGTGTGCCCACCCAAATCTTTTATCCAGTAGATCTTATTGTAAGAAGCCTGGTTGTTTTGATGTACAGATTTCTGACAGCAGAACGCAAGGGTTAGGAGAAGCCTATCAGTTGTCATTTCAACCCATCTGGCACACGCATGTGTGCTAAATATTCTCACCAAGCTTTCAGGGGAGTAGATATTGTGTTTGATTTAGAAAAAAATTCAAGTATCAATTACATGTTACTGAAAGATTTCCACAGATATGAACACATTATCTCTTGTAAGTCACCTACGGAGAGTTTAAGGAAACCTGTGCCACACCTCAGACTAACTTGGCCAAGCAAGACATCACTGACAGCAGGCAACAGAGGGCCACGCCTCACCCTTGCCCAAATGTTCCCACCCTGGTGAGGTGAGGGGTGGCAGTTAGCTCTCTCCCACTCATATTCAACGAAGCATACGTACACCCATCTGGAGTAATAGATCGAATGCGGAAATAGATGCAGGTTGTGGGAAATTTTTGAGCAACAAAATACAGCTAAAATATCACTACTTCTTAGACAAATTTTAGCCATGAGTGGGACTTCCTGTTTGTCAATAAAACACTTATCAGTTTACAAAAAAACCCTGAGATCAAGTTTGAGCTCACTTTCCATCTGAGGGGTTACATAAAGTATTAAGCAAACAAGGCAGGTGGCAGGGAATCACAATAGAAATGGCGATGAGGAGGAGGGGGAAAGCAATGGTTCATTTTCCCCCAACAAATGCTGCTTGTATCTGACTACATTATCCTGTAATGACTATCACCAGTATTGAAATAATGATTCGAGCTAAACTGTGTTATTTAAAAAGGAGCATTTGAGATACACAAACACCAAACTCAAGAGAAAATTAATACCAAGTTCTAAATTCCCATAATCACATAACTAGAACACTGAAAAAATTGTTCAAAAATATTATCCTCAGCTGAGTGCTTGTATAACACATTTCTGCCAAGAACAAATGATTATGGTGGAATTACAAAGCTCTTAAAATGGAAGTGATGGCACCGACTTGAATACCAGAGTGTGAATGTGGAACTATAAGAGCATTTTTATCTTTATAATATTAAAAATCTACAGCTGTTTAATGATGATGATAAAGGAATTACTGTTAGACGCAGCCAAGTGTGTCTATTCACGGTACTGAATAGTCAATATGAACTAAGGGGCTTACTAAATGGATAAGCAGCCATTATCCCTTCAGGCACTTTTCTTGTAAAATCAGAGTCTGCCATCGGTCTTTGGAAGCTCCTGTGATTACCACTGGTCAGGTAAGGGAGGATTGAAGTTTTCTTCCTTTGCAGGGCTGGGAGTCCTGCATGGATATAGGCTAAGTGTCTCCTGGCTAACTGCTTGTGTTCTGAAAAGACTCGTTGGGTATGTCAGGATGGGGCCAGAGTTCTTCTGATGCCACCAGCCTCTTGAGCTACCCTCTGAAGACTCTCCTCCCTCAGAGAACTCTGCGCGTTCTCAAGAGCCTGCTTGCTTTCCACGTGCAGGTGACACCTCGGCGGCAGATCAATGGACTGCTGGGGTTTCTGGGAGAGACGCGCGAAGAGGGACTGTCACGCACAGAGCTGAGAACAGCGGATCCTACAGAAGTAATTAGACTGACAGGAGGTGACATCTTCCAGACAATAAAATGGGAGAAGGAGTCCAGACAGGTAATCCGCAGACCACGTGGACGCTTTCCCTGCAGACAAGGGGACATATGGGACCTGTGTTGTTACATTTGTTCGTGGGGAAAACTTGAAATATGTATAAACTGATGATGATAGGTGACAGGTGCTTCAGAAACTCTAATGAAATAGATGCAGGGGAACAGATTCTGCTTCCTCACTGGAAGGAATATAAATGAAAGAGAACGCCACATGGAAGTCTCGTAGGCAGTATGTTCGCAACTAGGCAAGCTCTCTCCTGTACGATGGTAAAAACTGATCTGCCCCGCTTAATTAAAATTTTTTCCTTTTAAAAAATTATTTCTTATTAGTAAAAAGAAGTAACCGGATTATTGACCTTTTCCAGTTATATGAAACTTTAGACTTTATAGTTAAGCATATTAATGCTTTATATTTTAAGTAAATTTCAGCTTTTTTTTTTAAATAGAGAACCATTACAGATTGGCAGCTTCCAGCCCACTCAATTCCTTTCCACGTCTCAGTTCTCAGGAATGTATATTTTCATTTCTTTCTTTTTCTGTGCCTACCCATTACACAGCAGAAATGTCAAATCCCTTTGTGAAAACCCCACAATTACGAGCATGAACCTTGGTGAAAATCCAAATCCTCGTCCTTTCTTGCCTCCCTGGCTTTGCCCTTCTTCCAGGGGTGGATGTGTCGAGAACATGTTCAGTGTACGCATGTGGTGTTCATACAGAAGCCAAGGGAAGAAAAAGACTTCGACTTAGAGAAGGCCATGTCCTTTCCTCTGATCCTAAATCATTTTTTTTGGGGGGGGGGTCTGTCTTTTGTAGATTTATGAAGATAAGCATCTTGCTTCAGAAGCTGAACAATCTTTCGAAAGCAGGAAATCCACAGAGGAGTAGGAAGTGCAAGTGAAATGGACACTGCCGAGCAATGCGGTTTCTGAGAACAGTTCATAACCACACTCCCATGCTGGCGGGCAGGCGCTCAGGACGCTGCTGCTGCCAGACTCCGGCGTAGCTGGGAAGGGTCTGCCCAGGGCCTCTTCCATTTAGAATGTTTGGCACAGGTACCAAGACAGCGCGTGGGATGCCCTCACCCAGGATCAGAGTGCCTGGGGTTCGGGTCCCAGCTCCACTCCCAATTCCAGCTTCCTGCTGGTCTGTACCGTGGGAGCCAGTGGTGATGGCTCAAGAGGCTGAGTCTCTGGGAAGCCTAGACTGAGCTCCTGGCTCCAGACTGGCCTGGCTCAGCCCTGGCCATTGTGGACATTTGGGAAGTGAACCAGTGGACGGGAGCTCTCTCTCTCTGTCTCTCTTAGATAAATAAATCAATAAGATGCATTCAGAAAATAATGATTGAAACCCCAGTGCTATATCCGATACTGTCTTGTGCATTCAGGTTTTAGAAGAGCAGGCAATACAAATTCAAACCAGAAAACTCTGAACCGACCTATAACAGTCCATAGTTTCGTGGCAATTTCCCGCATGGCTCACTCAGATTGGGGGGAACGAAGATGCTAAGAAATCCCTCCATAGGTTTTAACAATCAAAACACTAAGTACTGCCCTGCTCTCCTGATATCACAGTCCTTCTCAGTTCTTGTTCTAGAAACGGAAAGACATGGAAATGCGGTGGATTTAGTACACTCAGAAGGTAGACTTTAATTAGGCAAGCAAATCATATGCAATACAGTGCTTGAGAGAATGAAACTGCACCAAAAGTATTCATTTGTGGTGCAAATTTTATAAAAAGTAGAAAATGCAAATCCTTGATGCTCATTCTAATCAGATATTGACTTCTGGGTGGCAAGAGCTGGAGGTTTTCACTCCCTGTTTTTATGCTTTTCCTTAAAAGAGAATCTTCAAAATTTGTTTATTTGAAAGGCAGAGTGACAGAGAGAGAGGGAGAGACAAAGAGAGAGAGATCATCCATATGCCGGCTCACTCCCCAAATGGCTGCAATAGCCAGGGCTGGCCAGGCTGAAACCAGCAGCCAGGAACTTCATCCCTGTGACCCATGTGGGTGGCAAGAACCCAAGTCCTTGGGCCACCATCTGCTGCCTTCCCAGGCACATCAGCAGGAAGCTGGATCAGAACTGTAGAGTAGCCTGGACTGGAACCAGCACCCCAATAAGGGAGCTGGGTGCTGCAAGTGGGGACTTACTCTGCTAGGGTCACAATGCCAGCCTCTTGAAGGAGACTCTCAATATTGGACTGAAAATTTTATTCACCAAATATTTCTTATGTTCAAATAATGGAAATAAAAGGCAATAAAGTTCTAAGGGACCTCTAGTGTACTAACATGAGGATGCATCCACCAACTTGGTCCCAAAAATACGTCATGTAGACATTCAGATGGCAATGGTTCCTAGAGTCATTGCACTTCAGTCCGGATGAGACCACCACGCCCTGTGGCCCTTCCACGCCCTCCAGGAGGAGGTAGGGAGGAACAGTGCAGCAGCAGAGCACCCTCCAAGCGCTCCTGGTCCTCTTCACAGAGACCCTCGCTTCTCTGACCGTCTGCTTCCTCCCTCACTCATGCACTCACTTTATTCTGTCTGCATTCTCTCCAGACCTTTATCACACAGTACCGCTCCTGTATGTGTTCGTCTTCTCTCTAGGTTGAGAGATCCTTACTCAGCAAAGCACCTTCCTGTATTCCCTTTGGAGTTTCGATACTGAATACGGCACAACGTCCTGCAGGAGCTCAAGAAAAGCTGGCGGATGAACAGGAAATCATTTCCACCTCACCGTGAAGCTAGGCAGAGGTTTTCCCACTTGACCCAGCTGCCTGCGTGGTGGGAGGCCCAGATGGTGGGGGGACCCCCGAGCCCTTGATGCTCATAAGTTAATCACTACAATGTGTCAGGTGTTGTCTGAGGTCTCCTGCATGCAAAGGTGCTTCCTGCCACACAGGTATGAGACCATTTGCTCCTGCGTTCTTCCTCCCACTGCCATGACCTCCAAGAGCCAGGGATGGCTTCCCAGGCATCTTGTGTCACCAGAGCTTAGCCCAGGGCCTGGCAGGTGCTAGGAGCTGAGTAACCGTTTGAAGCATGACAACAGATGGGAGTGGACGGATGAACAGAGCAGAGAAGAACCTTCAAATGTTCCAGGGGGAGAGTCAAAGTGCAGTAGTTTTGCAATGGCAAAAAAAATTTTTTTAACCATTTCATACTATTATTTCAAGGTATACTAAAACTCAGTGTTTTACTCTATCATAAATTTACTATTTGTTGAAATGTACAGTTTTTAAGTTAGAAATCATTGTAGTGTAAGGCATTATCTGTACCACATCTGAAATGGATAGAAATCAGGTTTTTTTAAAAAAATTATTGAATGCTGAGGGCCAGTGTTGTGGCATAGCAGGTAAAGCTGTCACCCACAATGCCTGCATCCCGTATGGGCACTGGTTCGTGTGCTGACTGTCCATTTCTGATCCAGTTCTCTATTAATGGCTGTGAAAAGCAGCGAAGAAGGGCCCCAGTGTTTGGGCCTCTGCACCCATGTAGGAGACTAACAGAAAGCTCTTGGCTTTGGCCTGGCCCAGTGCTGGCCATTGAGGCCATGTGTGGATTGAACCAGCAGATGGAAGATGGATCAATCTCTCTCTCTCTCTTGCACTCTCTCTTTCTCTCTCTGTAACTCTTTCAAAATAAATAATCTTTTAAAAATTATCGAAGATTAAAAATTGGGATTAACCCACCACTTGCAATGTTGGCATTTCCTATCAGAGCTCCAGTTGAGTCCTGACTGCTTTGCTCCCAATCCACCTCCCAGCTAACGTGCCTGGGCAGGGACCAGCTGATGGACCCTGCCGCCCATGTTGGGGACCTGGATGGAGTTCCTGGCTCCTAGCTTCAACAGGCCCAGCTGTAACCATTGTGGCCATTTGCAGAGTGAACCTTTGGATGAAAGATTCTCTCTCTCTTTCTGTCTCTCTCTCTCTCTCACTCTGCATTTCAAATAAATAAATCCCATTTTTAAAATGGGGGTATTTGAGGCTAGTGTTGTGGAGGAACAGGTTAAGCCATGGCCTACAATGCCGGCATCCTATATGGGCACCAGTTCTAGTACTGGCTGCTCTACTTCCACTAAATTCCCTACTGGGAAAGCAGTGGAAGATGGTCCAAGTCCTTGGGTCCCCATGCAAGTGCGAAACATGGATGAAGCTCCTGGCTCCTGGCTTTGACCTGACCCATCCCTGGCTGTTGTGGAGATTTGGGGAGTGAACCAGTGGATGGAAGATCTCTCTATCTCTCCTCTTTCTTTGCATTTCAAATAAATAAAATAAATCTTTAAAAATAGCAGTATTTGTTGAAATCTTTGAAGAAACAATATTATAAGCACATAGCTTCAGTGACCAAAGCAGCATTAGGAAAGAGGGTGAAGAATTCCAGATGGACAGAGACAAAGGGAGCAGCATTTTAGACAGAATGCAAAGGTTAGACAATGGAAAAGCAAAAGTTGGTAGAGCACGGGGACACTTTGTGAATGTGAGTCAGATACTAAAAATCTAAAGCAGGCATGTGTTAAAATTCCTGGGCAAAGCTCCTCTCTTTTCCCCTTCTTGGCTGCTCGTCTACTGATCTACTATCCTCTGGGCTCTGCCACTGGCCTTTTTCTGGGTCAGCTTAGCCTTGGAGGATTCATGGAAAATCAGAATGGTCCCAGGCCAATCCCATATCCAGGCCTCCTCAGGATAGGTCAGTGGTTTGGGGACTTTAAGGATTTGTCCACCACACCCCTCCTGGACGCTGGGCCCTGGGCCTGGGGCAGGACTGAGTCAGGAAGTCTGGCACGTGCTAGCCACAGCACACTCTGACGCCCTGGACCCAGGAGAGCTCCGGAGTCAAGTGAGGAACAGGATCTATTTCATGTGTAAGAGGCATGACAGCACACGCAGTTAATCCTCGCCATCTCCACGGAGTAGACACAGGCGCTGCAAACAAAGGCTGCAATCAAAGGCTCAAACTCTAGGTGGTCTGGATGATGGTGGTGGCTTCTTAAGGAAGAAAAAGACAAGTCCCAACTATAAATTAAACAAAGGTTGAGAAAGGGGAGAGGAGTAAATTAACAAGGATCAGGAAGCAGTTTTTTTTTTTTTTTTTCAAGCATAAAATGTGAAAGCAACTTCACATAGTAACCTTTTAAGCCTATGGCATTTTGCTTGCAAATGGGTTACTGGGACAGAAAAGCTGAATTTTGAGGCATGGATGCTTTAACAAGAATGCATCGGAGCATCTTTTATAAACCATTAATGACTTATTTTCACAAAAGAAGATGCGTGTGGGCACTCAGGGTAAGGTCACATCATTATTTTTGTTTCCATGCAAGCTCTCGTCAAGTCCCAAATGCCTTTTGGTTCACGCTGAGTCGCTGCATGATTAGTGCTTTGAGATGAGTGAAGCCCCCACCTCTACTCTCTGATTGAGCGGTCTGCCTGGGCTACTTCTCCACGCTACCACAGTTGCTCCTTTGATTTCCCACCATCTCCTCTGCCACATCATTTCTTCTCCCATTTATCTTGTTCTTTAAAGATTTATTTATTTGAAAGGCAAAGTTGGAGAGGGAGATATCTTCCATCTACTGGGTCATTCCCCAAATAATGGCAAAGGCTGTGGCTGACCGAAGCCAGGAGCCTGTAACTCCATCTGGGTATCCCACATAGGTGACAGGGGCCCAAGCTCCTGGGCCATCTTCCCCTGCTCTCCCAGGGACATTGGCAGGGCGCTAGATGGGAAGTGGAGCAGCTAGGATTTGCACCAGTGCTCCTATGGGATGCTGGCACTGCCAGTGACAGCTTAACCCACTGTATACCACAACACAGGCCTCTTCTCCCACTTACTGTTTTGCTTTCCAGCCTAACCCTGCTCCCGGTCCCCTCTCACTTCTCTCTTCCTGGCCAAGATCGCAACTTGGTTGTTTAACCCGGAAACTCAGACATCATTCCTGATTCCAACACTTACTGACTCAATTCCCCTCCCTCTTGCTGAGCGGTCGGTCATCTGTGATCTGTTTTTTGACCTTCCCCTCCCAGTCAACCTTCCTTGATACTTCTGGTGGGGTCCAATTAGAGCGTACATCTGTTGTACCGCTGTTCTTACAAATCTCCTGGGCTCGCAGCAGCTACACCCATTCCCGTGCACAGGAAGTCCTCCACCTGCCTCTCTAGCCACAGTATTCTCGTCTCTTCTCCAGCACGCCGAGTCGTGCCCAGTGGGACCTTTGCAGCATTTCCCAAGTCAGGCAGGTCCTCCAAGAACACGGCTTTGATACCTGTCATTCATACCTGCCTGGAATAGCTTTAGGTGCTCCTCTCTGCCACACAGACGGTAGCCAGGCTAAGACACCTATGGGCTAAACCCATCGTGGAACACTGCATTGCAGTTCATCCTCCAACACGTCTGCTTCATCACCAGTTAGTGAGAAACAGGTCCTGCCCCTATCCGAGGGGGCTTGTTTAATGTGTGTGTGTTCACTATGGGCTTTCAGACACCGCTCGCTGGATAAACGAACAGACTTGACACTTGTACTTTCTAATGATGACAGGCCAACTGAAATGAGTTGGGTGGTCTCCTAAGGTGACTGTTATTTGTGTTAATAAGATTATACCCACACCATGCAGGAGAAGGCTTTCTGCTAGGTTACAGCAGTCTTGGGGATGACTGTGGGACTGCTGCCCAGGACTCCCCACGGGAGCTGAGGACCAGTGGAGGCAACGCACAGGACCGCAGCCGGGGTGCGGAGGGTTGGGCCTCTTCATGCTCAGGCCTCCGTTGCAGCTCTGAGCCTTCTCTGGCTGCAGGTGCTCTGAGTCACCCCTACGAGGATGCAAACATTTGAGGATTCTAAGGTATTACAAGAGATGCTTTTGTGTATTCTCTTTCGCTTTTCCAGGAACAAGAACAATACTTTGAAGAATCCCTGTCGGGTGAGGGTCTTTATCACCAACTTCTTGGAAAAACAGAGTACACAAAGATACATAGAGCGATACGAAATGAAGATTTGAGCTCGGCAGCTGACTAACATGTCATGGCAATTGATCACACCTGCACCTGGGACGCGATCCCCATTTTCTCATCTCTGAGACGGCCAGGGACTCCCAAGATGAAGGCTAAATGGTTTTCTTCCCAAACACTCCCCACCCTAGCCCTCTGCTAGGCTGAAGGGAGGCCAAGAGCTCTAATGGGTTTGACCCCGGCCCATTTATCTCCCAGGGTGGCCCTTGGCTCGATGGGGAAACCCTTCTTGCTGTTCATTTTCAACATGGCAATTTTCATGCCTGAAGGCACGGGAGCACCATGCACCAGCAACAGATTTCAAGCCAAAGCAGCACCAACAAAATTCTACCCAGTTCTTCCGTGTTTCTCAAGTTCTCAAACGGCAGTTAGAGAAGATCTCAAGAAGCAAATCTGGATTGTGAAGAAAGATTTCACTTATGGCATCCTCAGTTTCTTCCCCTGTAATACCTGATATGCCCATCTTTCTTAATAATTCATTTCTGGGATCAGTGCTGTGGCATAGCAGGTAAAGCCGCCACCTGCAGTGCCAGCATCCCATATGGATGCCAGTTCAAGTCCCGGCTGCTCCACTTCTGATCCAGCTCTCTGCTATGGCCTGGGAAAGCAGTGGAAGATGGCCCAAGTCCTTGGGCCTCTGCACCCACGTGGGAGACCCAGAAGAAGCTCCTGGCTTCAGATCAGCGCAGCTCTGGCCATTGCGGCCAATTGGGGAGTGAACCAGCAGATGGAAGACCTCTCTCTCTCTGTCTTTCCCTCTCCCTCTCTCTGTGTAACTCTGACTTTCAAATAAATAAATCTTTAATAAAAAAATTCATTTCTGTCTCTTCCTAATAAAGTCATCTGTGGTCCACAAAGTGGCAAAAAGCCATTGCCTACTGGAACTTCACTTGCTTTTGGTTATTCAACTGTCCTTGGACAGCAACCATGCGAAAGGGCCTCTTACGTTCCACCTCCCAGCCAGCACGGCCTTTAAAGGCTCACCTAGATGCCACAGAGGGCTTTGCCTGGGCTGAGATAAGCTGTGTGAGGTCGTTCTCTGTTGCTGTGACAAAACACTAGAAGCGGGTACTTGTGAAGAAAAGAGGTTTATTCAGCTCAGTCTTCTCGAGGCTGAAGGTGCAAGACGGGGCAACCTCTTCTGTCTGGTCTACGTGGAGGACCCCTTGCTGGGTCACGACGAGGAGAAGAACAGGAAAGGGGCCTGGCTGCGTGCAGTGGCCTTGCTTCACAGCAACACACTCTCACTAGAGACTTGCTGGGCTTTTGCAGAAACCACCTAAACCCCTTCCCACGGCACTGCCCCCAGTGACCTGGTTATCATGCACCAACCCCCACCCCTTAACGTTCCAGCAGCTCAACACCAACACCCTGGGCACCAGCACACGGACCCTCGGGGACACGGAAACCATACCCAAACCACAGCCGCCGCCATTGCAGAGACTGCTTTTGACATGTTTGCACAGACGGCTGTGTTGCTTGAGCACGTAGAGAGACACGAGCGATCAGGAGTGCACAGCTCTGGTGGGGTTGTGTGGGGACAACTTAGAGAGCCACTGTGGCTGCCCCGTGGAGGGAAGGGTACCTCTGTGTTAGAAATAAAGTCCGT